CATTGTGGCCAATTATTTTTGATATACAGAAAGCCACATGGGTGCAGTCCTAGAAATAAAATAACATAATGATGCAGCAGGGAGCAGAAATGTCTAAATTCCTAAATATTATGCTAACAAATCATCATTGACGTGTAATTCAAATGCACAGTAATTCCCCATTAAATGTTTTGCTGTATTAACTTATATTTTATAACAAAATAAATCTTTATAATGGTCTCAGGTATACCGCTGCTAATGCCACAGACTCAGTGGATATGGATGATAGGATACCCCACTGCAAGGGTTAACTGCTCATTTTTTATATAGGGGCTAAAATAAAAGAAATGTACTCGCCTGATCCTCGATCGCACCTAGACCGGTCCCCGCAGCCTCTGTCTCCTGTGGTCTAAGCACTGCTGACAGCATCACATTTAATACAGTCCATTGACTTGCATTAGACATGAGGACGCCAAGGGACATGCCACAGCCAGAGTGGAGGGGAGAGAGGTGAGTGCTGACTGACGCAAGACCGAGGATCAGGTGAGTATATCTTTTTTTTTTCCGACAAGTCGGGGTAGCCCCATGGCAAGGGTTAACTTTTTAGCATACCTGATGTTCTTCTTTAAGATAACACAATAATAATTGTTATTTGTGTGTTTTTTGGTTTTTTTTTAGTGTTGAATTAAAAAAGCACACACTTTATTAAAAAAACAAAAAACTTAATGTAATGTGTAAATAACTTTAATAATGCTTTGTACAAAAAACATTCTAATTATAGTGTCATTTTAAGGAGGATGCATTGTAGACGAAATACAAATAATGTATACTTTTTATCTACAGTAACAGTAATCAAAGTACTTTTTTTTTAGTTTTGATTGTTTTTTTCTATGGATTGCATTAAAAATATTTTTTTGTAAGACAATATCACCAAAAGAAAGCCTTAGTAATAACAAAGTTATTGCCGAATAAACAGGCCCACAGCAGAAATATAAAAATTGCTCTGGTACATAAGGGGTGTACAGGTGTGACAGCTAAACTAGTTAATTGTTAAAAAACAACAGAAATAAAATACAAACCATAGAAAAATAACAGGGGAGAAGGGGAAGAAGGAATTAGAACTGATTAAGATTATCTAAGAGTTAAAAGGGGTTTGAACATATTTTTTTTTTTTTTACTTATGGTATGGTATTTTTTTGTATGTCACCCATTTAATCTTCACATGAAGGAAAAAGAGTAATCATACTGGAAACAGAGTACTAAAACTGTTATATCATTATTTTTTAATGAAGCTTCCGTATACTTTTCAGAAGCTTTCAATTAACACAGTAGTGTGTCAGGGACCATAGCACCTCCAGGTGGCACTGGAACCAGGTCCTGCAGTTCCTGCGCTCACCTGCAGGTGTCTCCAGTCAGCCAGGAGCTGTCAGGTACCAGACCACTACTAGGTGGTGCTAGAACCTGCAAGTCCAGTGCTCACCTGCGGGTGTCTCCCAGCTGTCAGCGATTATTTACCACCTGGTGCTACCTGGGAGGGTATTTAACCACTTCCGGGCCGGCCGTAGTAAAAAAACGGCCGG